TCAGTTTAATTTTCAAGATGACGCAAAAGTACGTCGACAGGATATTGAAACCATTTCCATACATACAATGTAAGGGTTTATCAATCCCTAAGGAATTACATTTCTTTCAATGAATGGTATATTTGAATGTGCAATTTTGTATAAAGAAACAGCTCCTAAAGATTATAAACTTTTCCATGAAATGCTTATCTCTCACCTGATAAGGAAATCAATACCGCTGCCAATTCAGTAATTTTGTTTGTTTGTTTTTCAATCATGAAATGACCATTTTTAGGTCACCTGAGCTTTATCTCAAGTGACCTATTGCTATCCGTCTTCGTCTGTCGTCGTCGTCCGTCGTGCGTCGCCAAGTTAACATTTTACATTTTCAACTTAAGCTGAAATACTGGCAAAGGGATTTCATTAATGTTTCATGGGAAGGTTACTGACAACTCATTGACCAAGTGTTGTTATTTTTCGGGTCGATCAGAAATCCAATATGGCTGCCACGGCCGCCATTTTGAGAACTATTTCAAACTTAAAGTCAAGTTCTGTTGGGCTGATTGAACTGAAACTTTGTAGGAATGATCGACTCATGGTCCTGACAAAGTGTTGTTATTTTTCGGGTCGATCAGAAATCCATTATGGCCGCCACAACCGCCATTTTGAAAAAAACTATTTCAAACTTAAAGTCAAGTTTTAATAGGCCGATCTAACTGAAAATCGGTCTAGGAATGATCAGCTCATGGTCCTGACAAACTTAACTTTAGTTATTCTTTACAATTTTTTCTCAAATTGGTACATATTTCAACAACAAAAATAAATACTTTAGGACTAAGGTGACCGTTAAGGCCCATGGGCCTCTTGTTAACTTTATTTATTTATTTTTTTGTCTTATTTTAAATGTGTCGACTAAGTTTATCCTTTCCACTGTATTGACTTCATCATTACTTACTTATTGATTATCTCTCCTTTCTTACAGCATTTGTGACCACAGTCCACTGGGCACACACCCTTTCATGGTCATGTAATCATGATTGGCCACGGAAGGGGATTATGTGTGCATTGGACTGTACATGTGGTAGCAAGTGATTTATTGCCCACAGTTTTCCATTGTGAGAGGTGGGAAGACATTATGTAATGTAGAATTAGAAAAACTGGAAGGGTATACCTATCTAGGATTCTTTAAGGCAAGGAAAAAAACAAGCACAGAAATCAGTGTTTGCTGTCTATATAATAACTTGAGAAACATATCATTACCAGTTGATCTACAATTGAAGATATTTGATTCATTAATCATGCCAGTTCTTCTGTATTCATCAGAAATATGGGGTTTTGAAAACACAAACATTATAGAAAAAAGTACACCCAATTTCATTGTTTATAGTGAGCTTGGAAGATACCCACTAGACATCGAAATTAAATGTAGAATAATAGTATTCTGGCATAAGTTGATTATACCTCTAGTAAGTTATCAAGTACTATTTATAAGCTAATGTATACATTACAAGAAAATGGAACTGTGTTATTTAATTGGCTCGCATATGTTAAAGATATTTTATCTCAAACTGGCCTGAACTATGTGTGGTACTATCAATCTACATGTTCTTTTTCAAGAGACGAAATTAAGAGGCTTGTTAAAAGTAGACTAAAGGATCAATTTATACAGAAATGGTTTGATGATATTCTTAACTCCTCTAGAGGACAAACATTCAATAATTAAGACAAAGTTTGAACAAGAAAAAATATTTAATTAAGCTTAATACAAATGATAGGATAATCATGTGTAAATTTCGTTCTGTACATTATGTAATTCCGACATTGGAGATGAATATCATTACTTATTTATATGTGAAAGTGATTCAGTTAAAAGTCTATGAGAGAAATATATACCAAAATATTATTTTACTTAAAAAATATAAACTTTATTTATTTTACAACAATTATGAAACAAGTTATTTCAACTTATATTAATCACTCTTGTTGGCCCGGATGTCAGCGCCTGGGGGGGGTCTTAGTGTGGGAGGAAACCGGAGTACCCGAAGAAAACCCACGTGATCAGGCAGGTGACCCCAACCTTTTCACGTCCGATCGGGGAATCGAACCCCGGTCGCCTTTGTGAAAGGCAAGTGCGCTATCCACTGCACCACCCGACCACCCCTTATTTTACTTATCCAAGTCAAATAAAAATGCAAGGATTGTTTACCATATTTAATGTAAAAATTTACACAAAGGTTTGTAGATTCCTAGAAAAGCTTGAAAAAATATTAACTTAATTTCTGTACAAGGCTGTGCTCTTTCTATATGTAACTATGCTATATACAATGTTGTAATTGTGTACTAATCATCACACGCCATGTATCATATTTACTATATTTATGTGACCTCTTGTTACACACGTAAGTGTGTCAGAGTGAATAAATAAAACTTGTTTTTAATCTCAGTTCCCCCACTTTTTAGAGAACAAAGAAAAATATTGATATAGGAAGACAATGGCAAACCAATTATAGTCTGTTTCATACTTACCCCACAGGTAACTTACCTGTGTCAAAATTACCTGTCTGACTTGTAGCTTTTCTGTGTATGTGATATGTAGAACAAGCCCTCTAGATCTGTGCCTCTTTCTCCTCGTTGCAATATTTTTGTTACTAAGTGGTAATTTCCCGTAAAATTCATCATGTGTCCCATTCCCTGAAATACTTAACTTATATTGCAACCGTTCATTAAACTCGGGTACATCCAGGTGTGCTTCTGTGTCCATTAAAATGGACCTAAGTCCCATTTTTGTTGCCTTTCTTGTTATTTTCTGTCTGTTAACATTGACTTGAGTAACATTTTCGTTGCATTTATTGCTATTTTCCCTCAAAAGATCCATCCTATCTCCATGTTTAACCTCAGTTGACCCCCGTGTAAATTCATTAAGGGAATAGTTCTCTATTCTGGTCAGGTTATGAGGTGAAAATTGGACCAAAATAGAACAATATTCCTTATAGTTACAGTATTTTTATTTGCCCGTCAAATTTGATGGAAGTATTATGGTATGGGGTTGTCCGTCCATCCATCCGTCCGGCGTAAACTTTTGTTTGTCAGGCAATCTCCTCCTACATTTTTCGACCGATCTCTTTGAAACTTGATATACATTATAATCATGATATGAGGTTGTGTCTCCCTAAAAATAATTTTGATTCAACAATTTTTCCAAAAGTAATTGCCCTTTGTTCATTTCAGTATTTGATTTTTTGTCCGGAGATCTTCTACATATTTTTACGGATAATCATGATATGATGTTGTGTTTCCTTGAAAAGAATTTTGATTCAACATTTTTTGCAAAAGTTATTGTCCTTTGTTTATTTCAGTATTTTATTTTTGTCCGGTAATCTCCTTCCTTTTTTTAACAGATCTCTTTGAAACTTAATATACATTATAATCATAATATGAAGTTGTGTCTCCCTTAAAAGAATTTTGATTCAACGATTTTTGCAAAAGTTATTGCCCTTTGTTCATTTCAGTACATGTATTTGTTTTTTTGTTCAGAGATTTTCTCCTACGTTTTTTATAGCATGTCGGCTAACCACTCTTAGAATGATGCAGATCTTAGTTCAATGTAAGAAAGTATATAACACTATATGGCATTTGACGGGCGTATATTGTTCGCCCGTGGTACTCTTGTTCTGTGAATAGTTTAGAACTATTTTATACATTTGATCAGCAGACAAAAGTTTCATTTTCAAAACATATTAATGTGAGATAAGGGTTGAAGTGTGACAGAATTTAATTGTACATACACAATGTAGGATTACACTACAATGTATAGGGAATTTCCGTTTAGCTCATTCGATAGAGCAGCGGACTGGGAAGCTGGGGGTCGCTGGTTCACTCACGTTGAAAGCACATTACTATCTTTCCTGTTTTGAAGTCTGGGGTTAATCTAGCTTCAAGTACTGTTGATAAAGTCACATAATTTTGTCATGTTTGCGCGAAATTTACATACTTCTGCCCATAGGTATTGTTGTTGAAGTCATAGAAACTTGTGTATGGTGAGGCAAGGAGAAGATAACTCCAATTTACAGGAACAATGGTTATTGTGTAAATGTCAGTATAGATTGTAAATATTATTGTTGATGACATCTCGATACATGTATATACATATTGACGAAATGTGAATGAGTGTGAATGTTTAAATATTTGGTTATGCTAAATTCACACCTTTGGTATTTTGATGTCATCAATCAGTTGTTGACAGCTTACATGATATAGCACTAAGCAGTTCTTATCGACCAAGCTATGCAGAGTGAGTGTACAGAACAGGTGCTGTAAGGTATGCTGACTCCGTTATATGTGTTTGATGCCTGGGGTTAACCCTGTAAGACCTTAGTCTTTGACAGGAATGATTTTTGTTTAGGATTCATAGTTTACTTGCCACAAAGTGCCTGTGTGTTTATGGTAGGGTGCTGTGTCCATTGTCTATCCGTCTGTCTGTCAAATTCTTGTTTCTATGATCAACTTCTTACAAACTGAAAAAAAAACACCAAAAAATTAAAACTTGTTTGCATTTTTTGTAAACTACATTCTTAACTAATCATAAACTACATTCTTAACTAATCATACACTTCATTCTTAACTAATCATACACTTTATCAATATAACATTTGTGATTGAATCCAAAAACAATCTTCAACATGTAACAGGAGAGGAAAAATGCATGGCCGGGTTCAACCCGGGACCCTCCAAACTCTAGACAGACACTCTGCCAATTAAGCTATCTGGTTGCCGACAATTGACCCAGTCCAGTTCCGCTACATTCCTCCCTCCTTTTTCTAAGTCTTCGCCCCGAAGAAACCACTATTTACAACCCAGGTTCAGGTAATCCCTTGGCAAACATACACCAAATGCTTGACACAAGGGTTGGTCTCAGGCACCACTGTAACAGGAGAAGAATTTGCTGTACATAGCTTGTTATTTTCATTTTAAATTTAAAAAAATCCAAATAATGAATTTGTTTACCTTAACTTTTCTTTCAGGACGACATCTATGATGATGGCAGTAATATCAGAAATGTCACAGCGGTCAGTCGTATGAAATCCCTGTTTGAGGCCCCGGCAGCTGACACAAAACCCTTCAGACCACCTGCTAAAAAAATCATGAGACCGATGCCAGGGGCTGCGAATCATGGACCACCGTCAATACCGCCAAAGGGAGACAAAGCGGAGGAAGATGGGAAAACAGCAAATGGGACGGCAGAAGGTTCCAAAAAACCAACAAACATAACTTCAGAGCTCCCATCATGGAAGAACAGAGTGGACATGTTTAATAAACCACAGATTTCTGGTTTACCTCCAAAGACAGCAAAGACTGGGTTTAGTAATACAACAAGTCCGGAGGAAAATAAGGATGAAAATTCAAACACTGTGTCAGCCAATTCTGCAAAAAGGTCAAGTAAATTGAACATTCCGACAGCATTCTCTGGAGCTAGTAGCATGGCACCACCACCTATAGCACCCAAAAAACCTGTAGTGTTTCCGAAACCTTCGGACAAAACTGAAAATAAACCTGGAGACCAAATGTCACCTGTAAAAGATAAACCCGTCACACCCCGAAGGGTGATTACTCCTACACAGGGATCAACTAATATACAGGAAGAACTACAGAGAAAATTCAGTGGAAAGGGAAACGATTTTAAATCTGTTGATAATAAGCAAGATGGTGGACAAAAGGAACCAATAAAACCTGGAAAGTTAAACAGGGATAACGTGATAGCATTACAGAAGAAACTATCTGGGCCAGCAACAGAGGAAGTCTCTGACAGTAGTGACAAGATCCTAATGAGACCAAAGTCGGGGTCCAAATTTCCAAACAGGAAGTCGGTAAAGCGGAAATCTTTAACTAGAACTAATGATGGTTCCAAATTCTACCTCGTTGAAGTTTCTTTAGATGATAATATGGAAAAGAAAAAAATTGACGAGGAACCAGATATTCCCCCTCCTCTGGAATATTCCGATCTGCAACGCTTACATGAGATCATACAAGAGTACAAGGTTGCACTCGGGGAACTAGGTAAGCCCATATACTAAAACTGTATTGGCCACCTTGTGAAGGTCATGTCAACCATGTCAAGGTCATGTTCTAGTAAAAAGTAGCCCCAAAAAAATAAATGAAAGTCCTTTTTCTATTGTCCACCATGTCAATGTCATATTTTAGTAAAAGGTGGCCCAAAGGGAAATATTGTTCAGTCCTTTTTCTATTTTCAACCTAGTCAAGGTCGTATTCTAGTAAAAGGTGTCCCAAAGGGAAATATTGTTAAATCCTTTTCTCTATTGTCCACCATGTCAAGATCATGTTCTGGGTAAATGTAGCCCAAAGGGTAATACATGTAGGTACCTGGTAAGTCCTTTTTCTATTACCCACCTTGTCAAGGTCATTTTCATAATGTCAAGGCCATGTAAAAGTACAGTGTAACCCTAAAGGGACTGACTGTAAGTAGGTTTAGCTGTGTCACTATTCCCATCTACTGTTTATGTGGAAATTTTCCACTGCAGATTAACTTTTGCCTTCCCCCCCGTGTAATAAAGACAATTCATCATTACAGTGACCAGTTGTAAACAACATAATATACATAATTAATTGTGATGGGCAAATTTTAATACTGGATAAAAATGGATATTACCTAGTATACCTAGTGCTTGGTCAGGTTTTTATTAGCTCGCCTTGGTCCTTCGGTTTGTTATGCCATACCGCAGCGTCCGTTGTCCGTCGGGGCCAAATAGGGGAAACATAGCAAATTCTTCTTTAAAATCCTTCTTCTTCTGTAGGAATGAAAGGATTTGGTCCATATTTGGTGTGGAGCATCCTTGGGTAGTGGGGATCCAAGTTTGTATAAACCATGGGTCTGGCTCCCTAGGGGCCTGATGGGCGGATAAAGCCCAATAGGGGAAACATAGCAAACTATTCTTTAAAATCCATCTTTTTCTGTAGGAATCAAAGGATTTGGTCCATATTTGGTGTGGAGCATCCTTGGGTAGTGGGGATCCAAGTTTGTATAAACCATGGGTCTGGCTCCCTAGGGGCCTGATGGGCGGATAAAGCCCAATAGGGGAAACATAGCAAACTATTCTTTAAAACCCATCTTTTTCTGTAGGAATCAAAGGATTTGGTCCATATTTGGTGTGGAGCATCCTTGGGTAGTGGGGATCCAAGTTTGTATAAACCATGGGTCTGGCTCCCTAGGGGCCTGATGGGCGGATAAAGCCCAATAGGGGAAACATAGCAAACTATTCTTTAAAACCCATCTTTTTCTGTAGGAATCAAAGGATTTGGTCCATATTTGGTGTGGAGCATCCTTGGGTAGTGTGGAGCCAATTTTGTATAAACCATAGGTCTGGCTCACCAGGGACCTGAGGGGCGGGGCCAAATAGGGGAAACATAGCAAATTCTGCTTTAAAATCCTTCTTCTTCTGTAGGAATGAAAGGATTTGGTCCATATTTGGTGTGGAGCATCCTTGGGTAGTTGTGAACCAATTTTGTATAAACCATAGGTCTGGCTCACCAGGGACCGGAGGGGCGGGGCCAAATAGGGGAAACATAGCAAATTCTTCTTTAAAATCCTTATTCTTCTGTAGAAATGAAAGGATTTGTCCCATATTTGGTCAGAAGCATCCTTGGGGGAAGGGGAACAAAGTTTGTATAAATTGTGGGTCTGGCCCCCCCCTGGGGCCTGAGGGGCGGGGCCCAATAGGGGAAATATAGCAAATTCATTAAAATCCTTCTTTTTCTGTAGGAATGAAAGGATTTGTACTATATTTGGTCTGAAGCATTCTTGGATGAAGGGGAACCAATTTTGTATACACCGTGGATCTGGCCTCCCAGGTGCCTGAGCGGTGAGGCCAAATATGGGAAACATAGCAAATTATTCTTTAAAATCCTTCTTCTTCTGTAGGAATAAAAGGATTTGGTCCATATTTGGTGTGGAGCATCCTTGGGTAGTGGGGATCCAAGTTTGTATAAACCATGGGTCTGGCTCCCTAGGGGCCTGATGGGCGGATAAAGCCCAATAGGGGAAACATAGCAAATTATTCTTTAAAATCCTTCTTCTTCTGTAGGAATTAAAGGATTTGTTCCATCTTTGGTCTGAAGCATTCTTGGGTGAAGGGGAACCAATTTTGTATACACCGTGGATCTGGGCCCCCAGGTGCCTGGGCGTTGGGGGCCCAATATGGGAAACATAGCAAATTATTCTTTAAAATCCTTCTTCTTCTGTAGGAATAAAAGGATTTGGTCCATATTTGGTGGATCATCCTTGGGTAGTGGGGAACCAATTTTGTATAAACCATGGGTCTGGCTCCCCAGGGGCCTAATGGGCAGATATAGCCCAATAGGGGAAACATAGCAAACTATTCTTTAAAATCCATCTTTTTCTGTAGGAATCAAAGGATTTGGTCCATATTTGGTGTGGAGCATCCTTGGGTAGTGGGGATCCAATTTTGTATAAACCACGGGTCTGGCTCCCCAGGGGCCTGAGGGGTGGGGCCCAATAGGGGCAACATAGCAAATTATTCTTTAAAATCCTTCTTCTTCTGTAGGAATGAAAGGATTTGGTCCATATTTGGTCAGAAGCATCCTTGGGGGAAGGGGAACAAAGTTTGTATAAATGGTGGGTCTGGCCCCCCTGGGGGCTGAGGGGTGGGGCCCAATAGGGGAAATATAGCATTTTTTTTAAAATCCCTCTTCTGTAGGAATGAAAGGATTTGGTCCATATATGGTCTGAAGCATCCTTGGGTGAAGGGGATCCAATTTTGTATAAATCAAGGGTCTGCCCCCCCAGGGGCCTGAGGGGCTTGGCCCAATATGGGAAACATAGCAAATTATTCTTTAAAATCGTTATTCTTCTGTAGGAATGAAAGGATTTGGTCCATATTTGGTGTGGAACATCCTTGGGTAAAGGGGATCTAATTTTGTATAAATGGTGGGTGTGGCCCCCCTGGGACCTGAGGGGGGGGGCCAAATAGGGGGAAATAGACGTAAATCTTCAAAATCCTTCTTCGGTAGGAATGACAGGATTTTGTCCATATTTGGTCTGAAGCATTGTTGGGTAAAGGGGAACCAATTTTGTATAAATGGTGTGTCTGACCCCCCTGTAGGCAGAGAGGCGGGGCCCAATAGGGAAAATAGAGGTAAAACCTTTAAAATCCTTCTTCTACCATAAGGATTAAGGGATTTTATCCTAATTTAGTCTGGAGCATCCTTGGGCCAAGGGGACTCAATTTTGTATTAGCAGTAGGTGTGGTCTCTGAGGGGGGCAGAAGGGCGGGGCCCAATAGGAGAAATAGAGGTAAAACCTTTAAAATCTTTCTCCGACCATCAGGATTAAGGGATTTTATCCTTATTTAGTGTGGAGCATCCTTGGGTGACGGTGACTCAATTTTGTATAATTGGTGGGTATGACCTCCGTAGGGGCATAGGGGTGGGGCTCTGTTTGAAGATTGTTCTCTATATCTCAAGTACTTGATGGATCTTTCTGAAATTTCATATGTACTTACAGCACCTACCATGGAGTGCTATATCTTTACTTCATACCAATTACTTTAATTATATTCAGGCGGGCGATACAGGCCCTCTGGGCCTCTTGTAATCAAATAGTTTACTGTGAGCCTTCGATATTGTCATGACATATTCCAAGGATACAGAGAGGGGTCTAGAATATCAAAAGTGGAAACAAAAATGACACAGGTATCCAGACAAGGGGCGGTGGATCCAACGGGTCGTCCATTAAAGAAACCCACAGCACTGGTTCTACAACCCTGTAAAAGTACAGTAAAACCTCGATATAACGCCCCTCTTTTCATTTGCCCCCTCGTTTACTGCTGACATGGGCCCCTTTTCCTCATTTTCTTAAGATTTCTTTTATACATTTTCCTCAATTTATCGCCAAACCTCTTTATAACGCCAATTTCTTTTCTAAACCAACGGTGGCAGTAAAACAAGGTTTAATGTATATTTTTAGATGAAATATACATTCGAAAGGTAGCAACTCCTTAGATATGATGGATGATATGCTAGGTTTAGCGGCCTTTTAGACACTGTGGTCATACAGGTAATCAGGATAGATGTTCTGTTACCAGAGGGCTACCCTATAGATGATGCTGGCATCATAGAAGAAATGGAGGATGTATACGAGGCGATTCCAGCTGACATGGATGAACCACCAATTCCTCCACCTCACAAAAAGTTTTCCAGGGCAATCTCCTTTATGTGAGTACCAGGCACGCAATACAGTCTGATGTGACAATCATATACAATTAAAAACTTTCTGAGGAAAGGTAGTGAACAGACAGATTTGGGATGAAAATCCATGGCCACATCAGACAGACAATGTACATGGACATTTATTAGCGCCTTGATTTTTGACAATTGGCATTTTGATAAGGTTGTTTAAATATGATTATGATAATATGATCACTTATATATCTAAATGACCTTTGGATATGCTTTTACCATTTCAAACAAACTGAAACATCAGGTGAACTTTTAAGAACCCTGGGCCTCCTTTTCTTTTTCTGATTGATTCGGAATCCATTATGCCCGCTGGGCGCCGCGCGGGCACCTCATCATCTGATATACAGAGCCACTTTTGACTAATTGTTGAGTTCTACTGGATATATGTTTACTACATTGATGCATTGTCCTGATAAAGTCTGGATATTGCAATTGTTAGGTAAGCTCAGTAAGAAATCCAAGATGGCCACCAGTATCAAATTGTCACAAACTTAAAAAACAAAATTGTCTTATTCAAGTTTTACAAAGTCGTTCCGAACTTGAATTATGTTTTCTCCACACTGAGAAAGAGTTGATATATTTTATGGGTCAATTGAAAATAGAACTGACTGGCTTTTTTTGAATTGATTCAGTCACTTTGTACTGTTTCTGAATAATGTCCTGAAGAAGTAAATGATTTTACTTTTCAGTAAGCCAATGTCGGAGAGGGAAGAATATGACAGTGATGACCAGGACACCTATGACGACACTATTAACTACACTCCCAAGGAGCCTCCATCAATTCCGCTCCCTCCTCCACCTGAACTGGACCTTCCTGCTCCTCCTGATGAGCTCTTAAAACCCCCTGTACCAGAAGGACCCATTCCGTCCCGTAGAAAACCCTCAACCCTAGTACCAGGTAAGTATACTAATATTGGGTTCAATATTCTCCGAGTTAGAAAGTCTGCAGTTCTGTTACAGGTAATGGTATAAATATTACTATTTCCTTAGGCTAGAAATCAATCACAGCAACCCTACCTTTGGTTTACCCATAGAACCACACAATACTCTGCCTTTTTGGAAACTGTTTTAGTATCTTGACTTAAGCTTTGATAAATCATTTATGAAATGAAAACCATATCTTGAGGACCTTTATGATATATTAATATTTATGATATATTAATAAATTTATGATATATTGATAAATCAAAAGGTTTTGAGTGTAAAAAATGCAATAGGCAAAACAATAGCTTGACCACTGGACACCCAATCATTACATTGTCTCTCTAACTGACTGAGCTACCTAATCAATGGTGGTAACCTAGTTCAGTCTTAAACGAAACGAAGTGAAGGTAAGGTTAGTGGATGTATAAAAATACGATGGAATTCTATTGTGTTCTTCTTGCAGTAGAAAAAGGTTCCTTAAATCTTAGTTTTTTAGAGCAATGTTAAACCAGCACAATATTGATAAACTGATCCAGAGTGGTGACTTGGAACCGTTAGTGACGTCAGGTGGTCTTCAGACAAAACAAATTGTGAAAAGATACAGGAAAAATTACCTACCAGTATTTAACAAAATGTAATAAGCTATTGTTTTACCAACATTAGCTGATATGCAATAAGACTTCCTGGTCAGTTTTCATATATTTAGCTGAATGATTGGTTCACTTGCAGTGCACACATTCAGTTTGGTTATAAACCTGCCGGTAAACACTACAGTCCTTCACCAAGCTCTTTTGTAACAATTAATTTACTAATCAAACAAATGTTGATCCAATTATTCTCTCCCCTTAAACAAACGATCCCACATAACATTGTACAGGGTTTGAGTAACAGCCATTAGTAAAGATAAGCCTTTGACTTGTTTGTAGATAACCAGACTGCCGACACCCCATCGCCTCTTGTACCTCAGAAAGACGACTGGCCGGACGATGTATACGATGACTGTGGAACTGACGCAACTCAGGTAAGCTCCTTGTCAACCTCCCGTGTTCTCAGGAAACCAGAATCCTTATATTATATACTGTATACAGTCAGGTAAGCACCTAATCAACCTCGCATGTTCTCAGGAAACCAGAATCCATATATTATATACTGTATGCAGTCAGGTAAGCACCTAATCAATCTCGCATGTTCTCAGGAAACCAGAATCCATATATTATATACTGTTTATAGTTGGGTAAGCTCCTCGTCAACCTCGCCTGTTCTCAGGAAACCAGAATCCTTATATTATATACTGTATACAGCCAGGTAACCTCCTTGTCAACCTCACGAGTTCTCAGGAAACCAGAATCCTTATATCATATACTGTATACAGCTAGAGAACCTCCTCGTCAACCTCGCGTGTTCCGAGGAAACCAGAATCCTTATAATATATACTGCACAGAAAACCCCAAGAAAAATAAGACCCCAGTTGACATCAGCTACATTTACAATTAACTTCCTACAACAACAACAACAACAACAACAGAAAGGAGGTAGTAACACTACAGTGACTGGTTTGTTTTCATTTTCTCCTTTCAATTATGTGTTAATGAGGCCAACAAAATTCAGCTAGAGACTCTGGTTCCCCTTTAATACTAGACACCAAAGGAGATAATACATAAAGAGACACAGAGTTGTGAAGAAGAGAGATCAAGTGCCCATTCCCTTTAGGTATATGTCTCTATTTCTGACATGTGTTTTGTTGATGTTGACAGGATCAGAATATCGCTGAAGCAGAACTGGAACAGGATGATGTTTATGAAGCCATACCTGGGTAGGTATTATGGAGGTCATACCTGGGTCATACGACTCATACCTAGAATTTTAAACTAACTCAACTGCCTAAAGGGCTATCGAGGTCTGGACTGATGTCCATTGTCAGTCACCATGCAGCATAAACTTTTTTACCTTAAGCAACATCTTTGGAATTCTCAAGAGGCCTAATATTGTGATATTTGGCCAATGAAATGCAGGGATAAAAGGCCAACAATTTTGTTCAAATGAACGACCTTGGCCCATTTTCAAGTTTACACGTCTCAAACGCTTTCAAATGTTCAAGCAATTTTTGTTTAACCAAGAGGGCTAAGGTGATGATAGTTGGCCAATAGCATGCTGAGATGAAAGACTATAAAGTTTGTTCAAAAGAGTCAAATGTGTTTAAACCTTCAAACAACTTTTGAATAACCAAATATCCTAGATTAATGATTATTAGGCTAGTAGGTTACTGGTGTGAAGGGCTATAAGGTTTGGTAGCTGAATGGATAACCTAGACACACTTTGATAGTCGTGTGTGGTAAAGATAGTTCAAAAACCTCCAACAAAGATTCATAAAGTATAGACTTATCTAATCTTCTGATGAAGTTCAAAAACCTCCAACAAAGATTCATAAAGTATAGACTTATCTAATCTTCTGATGAAGATCCATTATTTGTAGAGGAATGATATATAGCCTTTTTTGATAGCCTCTTTAACCCTTTCCCAACTATAGACCATAATGGATTCATCCAGACCAATGCATGGAAGAGTCTACTGAAGTTATATAGGGTTGAAAGGGTTAAAAGTCACTGAAGTTTAATGAGTAACAGGTGAGTAATACAGGCTCCTTGTACCTTTTGTTAAAATGACATCTCTGTTTTATATCATAGAGAAGAGGGGGAGAACAGCCCTCCTGCGACACCTGAAAAACCGGAAGAGAAAAAGGAGGAGAAGAAGGATGAAAAACTTACAGCAAAAGAGAAAAAGAAGAGGGAAAAGGAAGAAGCAGTAAGAAATATATTTCTTAGATTTGACCTTTGACATAACAAACATGAATATGGTCATATGGATGTAAAACTTTTGTTGCTTGAAGTACATGTATATCCTTATCTGACAATTGAGGTGACTAAAGTGACTCAATAAATGATGAGACTGGTTTCCAAACAAAGAAACTGACCAAAAAGTGTTGTAGCAAGCAAGGTCACTAGAGTGTCTTGACAAACAAGGTTACCAAGTGCTTAACCTACTCACCCCTAAAGTCACCTTTGAACCTTACCAAATCAAAGACTGGGCAAGTCTAGTTTAAAGATGTAGGGGTGAATGAGTGAATACACAAATGAACTAAGGATTTCCGGTTTAACAAGTGACTAATGTATCGTGACAAATAGGGTGACTCAATTGTCCAGACATTAGTGAGGTGACTAAGGTAACTCAACATACCAGATGACTAAAGTGGCCAAATAAATGAAGTTACTTTAGTCTCCTCACAGACAAAGTGTTTAAAGAGTGCTGTTTGAACAATGGGACCTGTGCTCTTACAGAGTAACTTTTACTGCTTTGTCTGAGGAAGAGGTGACAATATTTGTTTGCCAAGTGAAGAGACTTCAGTTTCCAAACAAAGGTATTATAGTGTCCTGATAAGAATGGTGACTAAAATGTCTGAAAAATGAAGTAAGTGATTGTGGTGTGTTCGCACAAGTGTTACGAGAAAAATATCATGGGAAAATGACATTACTTAATTTTCCCAACAAACAATATGACGAAAGTATCCGGACAAATGTTTCCCCACTGATGATATGACTAAAGTTTTCTGACAAAGTATTGATACACTATCTCAAATTATCTACGATACCATGCCATTTAAAACCTGTAAGTAATTAAATAGTAAATGCAATTTAATGCTTTTTGCCAGCATCATACACCGATTTATTTCTATTTGTAGGCAGAATGTGTATATACGCTTAATTGATCTACAAACTACAGTCAAAGTTGTTTGTGTTAGAATTTTTCTCGTTTTTGGAACAATATGTATTCATGTTTTAAATGAACAATTTGATACTTAATGTGTTTTCCAAAATATATTTGAAAGAATTTTAACTGTGAAATTGCACATTTTCAATGTTATCTTAGCATATATTTGATAATTAAGTATGTTTAGTGCAAAGTGACAGTTAATACAATTTATTATTTTATTATCAGGAAAGAATAAAAGCTGAAAAGAAGAGACAAGAAGCAGAAAAGAAAAAACAAGATAAAGATCTAAAGGAAATAAAGAAAAATTTCAAGGTATTTTGATATTAAAATGAAAGCAATTCCTCCTTTGATGTTATACATTGTATTTCTTTTCCAGTCATTCAGTTCCTTATTTTTCCTCTTAAAAATTATTGTTTCCTTTCATCATCTGTGTCAAGTTTCATTATCATACTAATATGTGAAGTCAAATTTTCAAATTTAGTCTTTGAAAAATATGTGTAGAAATATGGAGTTGTGTATATTATCCAAACCGGTTCATTTTTAATCCAATGAAATGTCTTATATATATTTTTTTAATTTAATAATGTTAAAAATAGATTACAGAATTTTAAAGATTTAAAACTTGACAGCTGACATTTGGGACTAAACATTTGTTCTATGTTACAGATCGACACCTCTCAGCTGGACAAGTCCCAGGGAGAGGGAATGCTGAAGGAGGATGCTGTACCCTCGGGGGGTAAGACTGCCAAGTTAGAGTTGACGGCCAAGAAGGGAACATTACTCAATGTGGTCCGTCTGGTAGACAACCCCCCTGGAAAGTGGCTTGTCCGACTGATAGAGGAGGAGAAGTCGGATAAACCTGTGTACCTGTCACAGATTGGTAAGTTTAATTCATCACCTAGTAAAAGTTGGCCTGGAAGTTACATCAATGATGAGGCTAGGTACAATTCTGATAATGCCATGAACAATTATGAAAACGCCAGTCATGATTTTGATGATGCCATTAAGAACTTTGGTAATGCCAGTTACAATTTTGATGCCACTGTCATACCAATTACAATTCTGATACCAGAGCAATGCAAATTTTGATGATGCTAGTAACAACTTTGATGATGCTAGTTACATTTCTAATACAACAGTAATATTTGTACAAATTATGTTTCTGATAATGCCACTTACCACTTTGATAAAGTCAGTTACAGTTTCAATAATACCATTTTTATGGTTATTGGTTCCTCAACTTGAATACATTTTCATAATTTCAAATACAAGGTTTTCAGCATATTAAGAAAACCCATATGGCCAGGGAGATGTTCCCATACCTTTTCATGTTCGATCAGGGAATCAAACCTCCGTCGTCTTGGTGAAAGGCGGGTGTGCTCTCCGCAGCACCACTCGACCAACCTATATAAACATACAACAGTAATATGCTATCTTCTGTTTCACAGTGGGATACGTGGACGCCAACATCGTTGAGGTAGACAATCAGCTAATTCGCAATGTAAGCTTTTAACTGCTTCAGCTTTGAGCTAATATGAAGTTTGGGGGTGTCTGCGCTGCATTAGACAGCAAGTCTATAACTATGTACTGTAATACAGAGCACAAGTTATGTATAACTTCACAAAAAGAAAGTCTATCAAATTTATTTTATTTAAACATAGTGATGTTTTATTAATTGATGACACTCAATTAATTTAACACATTGCTTTGTTTCATTTAATTTCCACAAATTTCGTTCAAGCTGTTACATGAATAGGATTAAACAACAGGCTAGGTAACCGCCAGATCAGTTCTGTCCTGCTTTATCTCTCAGAGATTTTCAAAAAGGAATCTCACAGAGAAGTCTCGGATACAAATTGTTTTATAACTTTGACAGAATCCATACAATATTTAAGTTCTCAGATCATAATTTTCTTCTGTGTGACCTTCACCAGGAGCTGTAGAAGTACTTCTAGTTCGACAGTCCTCGGTTAAAGGCCAGGATTAGACTTCATTGTTTGATAATAGTACATGAATTCCCTGAAGGAGTACAGATAGTTAGGATACAGTACATAGTTTGCTGCTGCTAGTGTGCTAAGGGTTGGAGGTGGTAACCTTTTACAAAGTATTTATTGGTCATTGGTAAAAACAGTATGTAAATATTAGATTGAATCATCGATAAAAGAATTGATTTGTTTGTTTAATCTCTAAAGAATGTTCCCTGTTTGGCAGACTTCAAACTTCTTATTAAAGATGCGAAGAGGATATTTCCATTTAACATGAAAGGGAATTCTCACAGTCTTTGATTTAAACAATTTCCTTCTAGTCATACATCAATCTGATGTCTCAGTTTAGTGAGTATGGGTAGGTGTACAACTATTCCTTTAATAGCACTTACAAATACAATCCAAGTCCCCAATCACTCCGCAGTGTGAACCAGACAAATGCTTCAGGCCTCCTTCACATGAACCAGACAAAATGGTTCATTCTTCCTCTACACCAGACATGTGCAAATACATCAACCTCCCTCTACACAGACCAGACAAATAGATCAACCTCCCTCTACACAGACCAGATAAATGGTCCAACCTTCCTCTACACAGACAAGACAAATATTTTAACCTCCCTCTACACACAGACCAGACCAATTATTCAACCATCATATACGCAGACCAGACAAATGCTTCAACCTCCCTCTACACAGACCAGACAAATGCTTCAACCTCCCTCTACACAGACCAGACAAATGCTTCAACCTTCCTCTACACAGACAAGACAAATATTTCAACCTCCCTCTACACAGACCAGACAAATGCTTCAACCTTCCTACACAGACCAGACAAATGCTTCAACCTTCCTACACAGACCAGACAAATGCTTCAACCTTCTTCAAAACAGGACAGACTAATGCTTCAACCTTCCTCTACATACACCAGACAAATGCTTCAACCATCCTCTACACAGACCAGACAAATGCTTCAACCATCCTCTACATACACCAGACAAATGCTTCAACCATCCTCTACACAGACCAGACAAATGCTTCAACCTTCTTCAAAACAGAACAGACAAATGCTTCAATCTTCCTTCACAAAACAGCATCAACCAAACAAATGGCTTGTTCATCACTCCTTCACCACATGCCATATCTCCAATTAACTGTAACCTTCAAGCTTATGTAATTGACCTTTTTTAGTCCAACTGGTATCAGTGTTGTTCATGGATGCCAAATGAAAGTAGCCCATTACTCAAGTTATCAACAAAAGGAATAAATATTTTGGTAGAGAGCAGATGGTCAAAGAAGAGACTCTGTAGTGTGTTAGGTAAAAGATTCTTGACCGTTACAGTGAGAATCTGCCTTTGAAAATCACCGATGTTACTCCAATCTGCCTATTTTCAACAATAGTTACATTTTTTTTAACAATTGGAGTCCACTTACTTTTGAGAATAATATAGTGGTAATAATAAGCCTCTACTTAAGACCACTTTCTTTTCAAGACTTGTATCATAAATACCAAAACTTGTTTATTCACCAATATATATTCCTGCATATTAGCGCTAGCAATCCCAGTACCTTTCTTTGCTTCTTGACAAGCAAAACAGTTTTACTTGAAATTTTCATTTTAATAGCCAATATTAGATGCAGAATTCAACTCAGAGCTGGCTGATAAGGTATTGAAGGATACAGAGTATATTTTCTGTTTAATTATGATTTCACATTGTACATGTATTTTATATAGATATACGAGTTTTCTGCTAGATACAGCCACTCTAAACTTAGATGTATACAATGTATATTTATAGTCATTCTATATGCTGTCTTCAAAGTGTTAACCCTAAATTTATATGTATGTATGTTTATTCTTCAACTATCACAGTCCAAATCATCTTCACTAGCTAAGGGTTATGATCCAGTACAATCTTGCTAGCGAAGAGTAGGTAGATCGTACCGGATCACAACCGTTAGCTAGCCAAGCGTAGGTAGATGGTACTGGGTTGTAGCCCTTGGCTAGCAAAGATGAGTCAAAAACAAAGTTAACAAAGAAAAAAGTAAATTTTGATGAATGATCTCTCAGTCATTTCCATGTAAATGCTCTCAATGTTTATCAAAACAAACACTGAATCATTGCTATACAAATCAATTAATGTTTCTGTGGGACTTATAATTGGCTACTCTTAAACAAAGTTTGACTGTAGCTTATAGCAAGACTGCCACAGAAATATGATCATGGCACAGGGGGAAAGGGAAAAACAGAAGAAAATTCTACTCTATTGACCTGCGGTACATTTGAGTGTAGTACTGGTATACAGTTTTGTGTGATGACTTCCCGTAGTGTCCCTATACTTCTTCCTGTTCTGTGTAGCTTTGTATACATATTCCGTGTATCCAGGACTTATCTATACAGATCGGACCTGTGTGAAATGTATTGTAGAAACAAAGACCTAACTGGCCACTCTGTGTAATATCTTGAAATTTTACTATAGCTAACCTTGAAAACTTCCACCGTGAACAATTAACTGATGTTACAACAGGTTCACTAACAAACATTTTACAAAGTAATAAAGTAATAACTTAATCTGTGCTAAGCCTTGATATATATTACTTAAGTGTGTATTTTGTAACAATGTATAACTTACTTTGTACTTTACTTCCATGAACTTAGCTGTAGGAGGGACATAAAACTCCAAACGAAGCTAAACCAAACTTAGTACCATTTGTATACCTTATCTTGTATTTAGCAACATCATGTATCATACTTTGCTTTTACATGTAGTAATAATATAGATTTTTAACTTTATAAAAAAACAATGTTCATATTAAATGTGTCCCAACGTTTCAAGACCGACTGGGACCTTTATTACTTTTAAGTTTGACTGAGTTAGCAATTTGTATTGTTTACCTGTACAACGATGTGACCAAATTGTATATTTCATATGTCACTCGATATATTTCATATGTCACTCAACATATACAACGATGTGACCAAATTGTATATTTCATATGTCACTCAACAGTGATGTTTCGCCTAGCAATAAAGAGTGTATACACACTGTATTGAATAAGTTACTGGTAGAGTGTAGATCTAGCCCCCTCTCCTGTTAGGTCAGCATCGGGTCGTACAGATGACTCAGCTGGTGTCCCCCTCGTCTCTGTTCATGTTTTGAGTTTTCCTGATTTTGATTACAACTTTGATTTGTCTCGTTTTTTATACTCTCTAAAGATAGGCCAAACGCTCCAGGTATAAAGTAAAAACTTGATATTACATATCTCCAAACTGATGACTTTTATTGAAGATATCTAGTAATAATCTTTATCTTATATGTACAATATATTTTATCAAAATATCCTTTTTGTTGTGTTTTATAAGCAATCATTGTTTAGAGCAGTAGAATCAATCTTTGTTTTTGGGTTAAGAGTTGAAGTATATGTTTGACTGATAATGAACTTTAGTTTTATTTTATATTTCTGAAGCCCTAGATGACAGCCAATCAACCGTAAATATGTTACAATGGAAGTTATATCCAGATTCGTAAGATATTTTTTTTCGTGCTCCCCCTGGATGCGGGTTTGCATTATGAGAAGTGTTTGCCACTCCTTAGTTGTGTTATAGAAAAAAATCCCATCTAACACATTGATGGTATATCTATAGCCACCTTAACACTGTACTGACGTAGTTAACATCAAAAACTTGTTTTATTTGAGTTTGAATTGATGCTTATGAAACTACCTATACTATAGACATTTTCTCAAATATGGCATGATGTAACTACGTTACCAATACAAAAAAAAATGTTCTTCTTATAAAACTGCTTGTGAATCGAAAGTACAACCTAGATATTTGTTGGCATACTTAGTGAATGGAACTAAGTTGAAAACTAATTTTCATTCCAAAAGGTACTGGTGTAGTAAAATGGAATCTCGTATGTGATATAGCAGAGGGGCTTGTGAATCAGTTTGTATCACATGACATTTTCTTGCAACATTTAATAGCACAGGGGCCTGTGAATTAGTCTGAAAAATAATACAGGTATACTGAAATTTTTACTAAAAATGGAATAGTGTTCAGGTGTTCCTATATAGAGATCTTCTGTAGTGGGGGCGGAATAATACCGTCAAGCTGGTCAGTTTATGGGGAGAATGGTAGCACTGCACTGGATTTGGAAGCATGAAATATAATATTAATACTGATGATCAAAACTTTGGTTTACATTTTGTTCGAAACGCAAGCTGTTATTTACTGTAACACAAGTTTAGACTTGATAAAATACGCTGTCTATATAAGTTAATTAACACATTCATATTTAATTGATATACTAAAGCATGGTAGCTAAAGTGTGGCAGTGCAATTAATCTGTTTTATTTTTTATTTTGTGTTACTGAAGTACATACGAATAAAACAAATCTTAATAAAATTCAATCATGATTTGCTTGCTATAATGATGTGTGGTCAAATCAGTATGGGGAGCAAATGAAGATTGAATATTAATTAGATCGTGCAGAACCTAGATATTAAATGTTGTGATACTCAAAATCAACAGGACCCGGAGGTTCAATGTTAATTTTTGTGTGATATACATACAGGACTCGGATGTAGAGGTTAAGTGTTAATTTGTGTGATGAACACACATGACCCAGAGGTTAAATGTTAATTTGTGAGACATGCATTATTCAAACTAAATAGTTTTGAAAATATCATACATGAAATATATATCGATATTATCATATGTTATATTAGCAGGCATTGAAAATCTCAACTGAATTTTGAGTTTTTAACTTTCAGATTGAAATAGATATGTTAGTTGTTCTGTTATTTAGCTTATTGACATGGTGTATGTATGTGGTCTATCCATCGTAACGTTGTTTAAAACACTTAACTAATTCAGCAGACATTTTAACTAAATTGGTTTGGAGCATCCTTGCAGTGATTATCTGGTCTTTTATTTATCGTTTGTTAGAGTAGTATTTGCTTACAAACAAGGCATTGATTGAATATCTTACATTCTATATAAATCCATCGAATGTCTATTATATAGTATATGATAAATGTCTGTTCATTGCATTGGATCAATTGTCCTGATAAAATATATGCTTTATTTATAATTTTAAGAAATCATCCTGATTTGTACAAACGTGGTATTCTATAACCGGTAAGGAACTTTTTACCAAATATAATAAATGTTTCTTGATTAAGTAAGAGCAGCAGTTTCTTATCTATATCAGCAATTTTAACTGCCTTTTTGAAACCACATACCTGTTGTTACTTTTACAGGTAATGGCGGGATCGTTTGTGAGTGCCTTGAACAATACTAACGCTGTGTAAGTTTAGTATGTCTAGAAAAACAACAATAAGTGGCAGAAGGGAAGCTGTAATGCACAATATCAGAAACATTTATAATATCATAAAAATTATGTGTTTAAATAAATCCATATTAGGGCCATACAAAGGTCATATGAGTTAAAACCTATAAAGCCTAGGCTAAGCCATCAATGATATTTAAAGTAGTGACATGTTTATGTACTTCAAGCATTCTTGGGATTTTGTATAATTCAAGCATTCTTGGGATTTTGATTTGCAGAGATGATGAAGAAGAATATCAGGATGTAGAAGTTGAGGCCCCTCCTGTTGAGGAAGGTGAGAAAGCTTACAAATCTCCGCAAGAAATCACATTTAATAAAAGAGGATTCTGACTAAGTTCCTATTACTAACAGTTTTTTTGAGAATTTAGTTCATACTATATTTTTATTTTTCTGTAAATGTTTTAACTGGAAAAATCAAACCACCATTTTTACCTGTGTTGTAAACTTAAAGTGTTCTATCGTTCCTTGTGAGAATGAATGGACTGAGACATTATGCAGTGTAACCTTCTTTATGCAGCGTATTCCTACAATCAGAGTTTACAATTGTAAAATGTCTAATAGTATTATATAGATGGTAGAGAATATATTGATAAACAAATCATGTGCAGGTCTGATCTCTCCACTTTGACCTCAAAAACAATAAGTTCGTATAAGTCAATGTTTCATTTGAAATCTTGTTCCTAAACTCTTTGGTTTATATAAATTCACTTTATCTTCATAATTGTCATTTTGTTTCAGAAATGTATGAAGCAGTGTAACATTCCATATCTCACCAATCTAGAATCTGCAATTTGACCTTGACCTTAGCATGCTTGAACTTGATCTGAAGTGCTGACCTTGATCTGAAGTGTCTTACCTTGATTTGAAGTGCCTAACCTTTATAAACATGTAATGAAATGCCTGACATTAACCTCATGGTACATGACTTTCAACAAGTGTCTGAAACCTCCCTTAAAGGACATGTGTCTTATATATCATGCTGCTTATTTAGATTTTCGTCAAAAACCATTTGGTTTCCATGGTAACTTCATTTTAACAAGACTTTGTTAAATGAATGTTTTGATATAGATAATAAGATCTAGATATTAATTTCTGGTAGTTGATATTCTTCATTGTATTTTGGGTAATCGAGGTTACAATACAGCTAGAATTGATCATAAAGTTTGCAGTTACTGAGGTATCTCATTGTATATACTACATATATGTACAATTTCTTCCATTTCTTGCCTGTAAAGCTGACATCTTTGGTATTTAGTTCTACCACTGTGCCATTGTCTGAATCTAGCAATACATACATTATATTATATTATTCAATGATATTTATATGAATATACATTCCATTGAGTTTGTAAATTTGTTTCACTGGGGAAAAAAATCTTTTCTGTTTATGTCATAATTTTTCCGTTTTATGTAACTGTTTTGTGTATTTTTTGTTTGTTATGTAAAGATCAACAAATATATCTCTTATACTGATGTCATTTCATAGTAAAAACTGACAGATTATCTGAGAAATCATGAGACAGAAGTCATTTCTCCCATTTAATGATGGGATATCTATCATTGAGATATATTTAAAACCTTGTTTGAAATTATTTATTTTTACATCTCGCTCAAAATGTCTATGAAAAAGGCAACATGAGATTTCTGTATGAATATTACTAGTGGTATATCTGAGATATCACAATTACTGAGAGGATATCTGAGGTATGAAAAATACTGACAGGATATCTGAGGTATGAAAAATACTGACAGGATATCTGAGATATCACAGGATATCTGAGATATCACAGTATATCTGAGATCTCAAAGGATATCTGTGATATCACAAATACTGGTAGGATGTCTGAGATATCAAAATCACTGAAAGGATATCTGACGTATCAAAATTACTGACAGGATATCTGAGATATCAAAATTACTGACAGGACATCTGATACATGAGGAAAAAAAATGACTGGATATCTGAGATGTCAGAATTACTGACAGGACATCAAAGACATGAAAAATACTAACAGGATATCTGAGATATATAAAATACTGACATGATATCTGAGATATGAAAAAACCTGACAGGATATCTGAGATATTAAAAATACTGACAGGAGATCTGTGATATAACAATTACTGATAGAATATCTGAGATTGCACAATCATGATATATCCTTTGGATATCACTGAGACTAGTTACCAGGTATATACAATATCTGAGGTATGAAAAAAATACTGACAGGATACTGAGATATCACATTGACTCACATGATATCTGTGATATCATAATTACTGGAAGGATGTCTGAGATATCAAAATTACTGACATGATATCTGAGATATCAAATTACTGACAGGATATCTGAGATATATAAAATACTGACAGGATATCTTAGATATGAAAAAAACCTGACAGGATATCTGAGATATAACAATTACTGATAGAATATCTGAGATTGCACAATCATGATATATCCTTTGGATATCACTGAGACTAGTTACCAGGTATATACAAACATCTGGTTTATGTCTTTTAATCTTGTTTTTTTATGTTGTCACTTAACATTTTGATGGTGTCACAGAAGATTTTTATGGTTTCACATACTATTTTGTCATATTAGATTTTGTATTACATCAAAGTAGATTTTAGGAAACATTTTAATGTATAACACGAGACGATATGCAATAACACATCTTGTATTTATGATTGTAAAACTGTTTCCTATGCTATTTCATTTTTACACTCACCATTGAGCTTTCAACGGAATCACACGACCTTCTGAGCACTGCTCACTGATAGGTTCTACTACAAACTTGGTCATATTGGACAGGTTCTATTACAACAATGTCTCATTGGACAGGTTTTACTATAATCTGTTTAGTCAGGTTTTCCGCTGATCTTGTCGTTTCACACCTGTTTAGACAAGTTCTTCTTCAGTTTAATTTCTGAACAGGTTCTTCTTTGAGTTGGGTCTTAAATTCCACAGATTCAACTCTTGCCTGGTCTTTCAAACATTTTGTGCTATAGACGATTTTGAGAAAAATAACTTACAAACTTAAAAGTACATAGAGGGTTAATCTAGGAAACATGGGAACATTGACAATACAGAATATTATTGTGTGCTGTGATGCATTAGCATTGCAATACAATGCCTACTCTAGACATTGACTTTGTAAGTAAAGATATGTCGGAGATATGGAATTTGTTGAAACCCAACATATAGGTGGATCAGACATGTATTTTCTAATCATTCCTCTGGAGTTTTATGTACATAATATGTTGTGTAAGAATATACATGTTTATGACTATGTTTTGATAGGTAAACAGCTGCTGGTTTAATAGTTGACAGATTTAGTTACATTTGAATGCTTTGTTATTGGGATTGCTTGCTTGTTATAGATGTACTAGGACTTTGGTGTTCAAATTTTCATTAGATTAAATATGCAGGTAAACACAAAATGTCTACCTGTAATCTTTTTTTAACAAATTCAGAACTAATGAAAATGAAATTCAAAAGTTAACATAACGAAAATGACATTTGAAAAAAAATCGTGTTATTTTTTTGAAATACCAGCTAAAAATATTACCTGAGAGTGTTGAGCTTAACTGTAAATAACCAGTCCCAGAATGCATCACTCATTTATGACAGAAAATCTGTAGGCTCCTGTAAATTCAAAAGACATTGTTAAACTTTTGAATGCTATGTTTAAGATTGTAACATGTTAGTGCTGTTTACCACTTTGTAAATGAATGCTTCATGATATTTTAGTCAATTGCATTAGATTAGTCATATATACAAATTTGTATTACATATTCAGCATTATATTGGTAAGTGCAATCCATTCATTAATGGGTACCCGTACACAACCAATAATTTACAAAACAAACCTTGGTACCAGAAAGCAAAAGTTCCATATTTTCAAAGCATTTGTACAATAGAGGCTTAGCGTAAGCTAATATTTTTTCTGTCAAAAATTTGACCTCTGACCTTTGAGTGAATATACCCAGAGTTGAAGAATGTTTTATCATTTATTTTTTTATAGCGTTGGTCCTATTTGTAAGGGTCAAAGATTAAACTGTGATAAAAAAAAAATCCTGTTTACAGTTCTTGCATATATCTGTTAAGAATACAATGTAATACATGTATATAGGCCTTCATGTATTTCATATTGCAACCAAAAACTACAATGGAGCGGTAAAGTAAAATTATGCCGTCAAACAACACCACAAGCTTTACCAGATAACAGGGTTACAGTATTGGTAAGAATAGATTGCAGGACATTATTAACCCTTTCACCACTTTGGACCATAATGGACTCATCCAGATCAATGCATGGTAGAGTGTACTAAAGTTACATAGGGGTGAAAGGGTTAAGGTCAAGTTGTATATAAACTTGACACTAGTACAGGTGTGCTTTTTGAAATATTTTCACTGCGGCTTCATCTTTTACCCACAAATACCTGTGCCTTTTATTTATTACACACAAATACCTGTGCCTTTTAATTCTTTCAATTTCCATATAACTTACATGCATGTATAGGGGAAGGGGACATTTAGCAGCCTGGCTTGGTGATGGCAAGTTGACATTGTTCGTGTGTAGGGAGTAGAACGGGGTTGGGGAGGGAGGTTTTCCAATAGCAACATTTACTAGATACGTCTTGTGTGACGGAATGGGTGCAATGAAATCTCTTGCTTTCATTACAGGAAGTCACAGTTTCTAGATGTTTCAGCTAGTCACAACACCAATTTAATTCAGCTATCACTGGGCTTTGATTTTGTGCATTTTATTTGTGTATGCTTATAAAATGTCATAGATCTATTGTTAATTTATTAGATACATTTGGTGAATTTACTGTCATCTTAAATTCCAGGTTTCATATTTATGATTTTTCATAGAAATAGTAAATAAGTCAACATTCATTGTATGTATATATTTTATGTTACTTCCTACAGAAATCACAGAATGACATCACTACATTGTGATGTTACCAACTGGCAAAATTTAAACTGGGGTACAGGAGGTGAAGCCCCAAATGGGGAGTGGGCGTCTGGAGAACTTAGAATTCAAAGCATGAAAGGTCGGAAAATGGTCACCCAGCAGCCGAAAGATGTCTCGTAAATATTTGGCCAATCTGACCACAGTTGAGTTTTTCGTATATCAGTACCAGGGTATAATGCAACAAATGAAACGTGGAAACAGAATCAAAATTTCTCGCATAAGACATGACAGTGTTGTATACACTAGATGAAATGTAAAGTTTTAATTAGTATTATATAACGAAGTTAATTGTTTATTTACGATGTATGATTGTGTCAAATTGGTGTTTGTCTTGACCAACACCGAGGCGTCCAGTTTACTTAACCTTTAGTCCTATACCATCTTCAAACTTGTACTGGCATTATATCCTGTTATTTTTTTTTTTACATATTAAAGAAAAATTCCCCTCAACTACAAAGTATAATTGAATGATCACCTTGTATACTAACAAATGTTGACAGTATTAATTTGACTAATACACCTTATAACAGGGAAGTGTTTATTTATATGTTGTATGCATAACACTGTATCCTGTTCACTTGACTCATTGGCCCCTGAACATTCATAATGAACTAGTATTCCAACCTTTGAATTGGAAGAGTTCCATTGTGTCTTCAGGAGTTAATAAGTCAAAGATTACGCTGCTATTATTTCCTCAATTTTCTAGATAAAATTCACCTATCGCAAAGGCTATCAGTATAGGACATATACCTGTGGTTTTAAATGGGGTATATACAGGCACTATGGTGCTTCTATACTATTGATGATTTTAAACAATGCAAGTCAGAGAATAAAACTTAAAGAAATATACCGGAAATATTGTTTGTTTTGTTTTGACTTAAATGGAATTAATCATGCAAAATTTCAGCAAAGGTTGAAGACTCCACTTCCCTCTTAAACCGGTAATGTTGTTTTTGTGACATCCTAAAACACTAGAGATTGTTTGTTAGTTTAATCATTCAACAGGACCATCCCAGGTTAATGTTATCATAGATGTAAAAAGAGCTTAGTTTCGAGTTAATCTCAAAGACAGGTATTTTCCCAGCATGTTATATTATGACAAATCCAAATATATTTTTTATTTCACAGTACTAAATGTACAGTAGTCTTTGTAAAATATGTTACATCCCAGATTTTCCCAGTCTACACAGCTGTACAAATTGTGTGAGCATGCCAGGAAGTAAATGTTTGTTAGACTGGGATCTTTCCAGGCCAAGTCATGTACTATCTTTCACTTATAGAAACAACAGAAACTGGTGTCACCCTTGTTTGGTAGAACACACATGGATAGCACAATGGAAATGGGTATTACTTGTTAAATTAACGTTTGGGGGACTTATTGGTTTTACTCCTATATAACAATTACTGATAGAATATCTGAGATTGCACAATCATGAGATATCCTTTGGATATCACTGACTAGTTACCAGGTATAAACAAACATCTGGTTTATGTCTTTTAATCTTGTTTTTTTATGTTGTCACTTAACATTTTGATGGTGTCACAGAAGATTTTTATGATTTCACATACTATTTTGTCATATTAGATTTTGTATTACATCATAGTAGATTTTAGGAAACATTTTAATGTATAACACGAGACAATATGCAATAACACATCTTGTATTTATGATTGTAAGACTGTTTCCTTTGCTATTTCATTTTTACACTCACCATTGAGCTTTCAACGGAATCACACGACCCTCTGAGCACTGCTCACTGATAGGTTCAACTACAAACTTGGTCATATTGGACAGGTTCTATTACAACAATGTCTCATTGGACAGGTTTTACTATAATCTGTTCAGTCAGGTTTTCCTCTGATCTTGTCGTTTCACACCTGTTTAGACAAGTTCTTCTTCTGTTTAATTTCTGAACAGGTTCTTCTTTGAATTGGTCTTAAATTCCACAGATTCAACTCTTGCCTGGTCTTTCAAACATGTTGTGCTATAGACAATTTTGAGAGAAATAACTTACAAACTTAAAAATACATATAGGGGTAATCTAGGAAGCATGGGAACATTGACAATACAGAATATTATTGTGTGCTGTGATGCATTAGCATTGCAATACAATGCCTACTCTAGACATTGACTGTAAGTAAAGATATGTCGGAGATATGGAATTTGTTGAAACCCAACATATAGGTGGATCAGACATGTATTTTCTAATCATTCCTCTGGAGTTTTATGTACATTATATGTTGTGTAAGAATATACATGTTTATGACTATGTTTTGATAGGTAAACAGCTGCTGGTTTAATAGTTGACAGATTTAGTTACATTTGAATGCTGTGTTATTGGGATTGCTTGCTTGTTATAGATGTACTAGGACTTTGGTGTTCATATTTTCATTAGATTAAATATGCAGGTAAACACAAAATGTCTACCTGTAATCATTTTTTAACAAATTCAGAACTAATGAAAATGAAATTCAAAAGTTAACATAAAGAAAATGACATTTGAAAAAAATCGTGTTATTTTTTTGAAATACCAGCTAAAAATATTACCTGAGAGTGTTGAGCTTAACTGTAAATAACCAGTCCCAGAATGCATCACTCATTTATGACAGAAAATCGTTAGACTCCTGTAAATTCAAAAGACGTTGTTAAACTTTTGAATGCTTTGTTCAAGATTGTAACATGTTAGTGCTGTTTACCACTTTGTAAATGAATGCTTCATGATATTTTAGACAATTGCATTAGATTAGTCATATGCACAAATTTGTATTACATATTCAGCATTATATTAAGTGCAATCCATTCATTGCGATTCCCATACCAAAATCTTAGTTTTTCAGTGCTTAAATCATTGAAGTAGGGTAAATTTTAAGCATAGGAGTAACTGCCATTTGTAAACAGTTTTCTACCATGGTGGATCCAGGATTTTGTAGGGGAAGGGGGTGAAAAGAAAATGTTCCGTTTTAATGGGTACCCGTACACAACCAATAATTTACAAAACAAACCTGGGTACCAGAAAGCAAAAGTTCCATTTTTTCAAAGCATTTGTACAATAGAGGCTTAGTGTAAGCTAATATTTTTTCTGTCAAAAATTTGACCCCTGACCTTCGAGTGAATATACCCAGAGTTGAAGAATGTTTTATCATTTTTTTTTTTTATAGCGTTTGTCTTATTTGTAAGGGTCAAAGATTAAACTGTGATAAAAAAAATCCTGTTTACAGTTCTTGCATATATCTGTTAATAATACAATGTAATACATGTATATAGGCCTTCATGTATTTCATATTGCAACCAAAAACTACAATGGAGCGGTAAAGTAAAATTATGCCGTCAAACAACACCACAAGCTTTACCAGATAACAGGGTTACAGTATTGGTAAGAATAGATTGCAGGACATTATTAACCCTTTCACCACTGTGGACCATAATGGACTCATCCAGATCAATGCATGGTAGAGTCTACTAAAGTTACATAGGGGTGAAAGGGTTAAGGTCAAGTTGTATATAAACTTTACACTAGTACAGGTGTGCTTTTTGAAATATTTTCACTGCAGCTTTCATTTATCACGCACAAATACCTGTGCCTTTTAAATCTTTCAATTTTCATATAACTTACATGCATGTATAGGGGAAGGGGAAATTCAGCAGCCTGGCTTGGTGATGGCAAGTTGACATTGTTCGTGTGTAGGGAGTAGAACTGGGTAGGGGAGGGAGGTTTTCCAATAGCAACATTTACTGGATACGTCTTGTGACGGAATAGGTGCAATGAAATCTCTTGCATTCATTGCAGGAAGTCTCAATTTCTAGATGTTTCAGCTAGTCACAACACCAATTTAATTCAGCTATCACAGGGCTTTGATTTTGTGCAGTTTATTTTTTGTATGCTTATAAAATGTCATAGATCTATAATTAATTTATTAGATACATTTGGTGAATTCACTGTCATCTTAAATTCCAGGATTCATATTTATGCTAAAATCATAAAAATAGTAAATAAGTCAACATTCATTGTATGTATATATTTTATGTTACTTCCTACAGAAATCACAGAATGACATCTTTACATTGTGATGTTACCAACTTGCAAAATTTAAACTGGGGTACAGGAGGTGAAGCCCCAAATGGGGAGTGGGCGTCTGGAGAACTTATAATTCAAAGCATGAAAGGTCGGAAAATGGTCACCCAGCAGCCAAAAGATGTCTCCAAAATATTTGGCCAATCTGACCATAGTTGAGTTTTTCGTATATCAGTACCAGGGTATAATGCAACAAATTAAACGTGGAAAGAGAATCAAAATTTCTCGCATAAGACATGACAGTGTTGTATACACAAGATGAATTAGTATTATATAACGAAGTTTATTGTTTATTTACGATGTATGATTGTGTCAAATTGGTGTTTGTCTTGACCAACACCGAGGTGTCCAGTCTACTTAACCTTTAGTCCTATACCATCTTCAAACTTGTACTGGCATTATATCCTGTTATTTTTTTTTTTACATATTAAAGAAAAATTCCCCTCAACTACAAAGTAAAGTTGAATGATCACCTTGTATACTAACAAATGTTGACAGTATTAATTTGACTAATACACCTTATAACAGGGAAGTGTTTATTTATATGTTGTATGCATAACACTGTATCCTGTTCACTTGACTTATTGACCCCGGAACATTCATAATGAACTAGTATTCCAACCTTTGAATTGGAAGAGTTCCATTGTGTCTTTAGGAGTTAATAAGTCAAAAATTACGCTGCTATTATTTCCTCAATTTTCTAGATAAAATTCACCTATCGCAAAGGCTATCAGTATAGGACATATACCTGTGGTTTTAAATGGGGTATATACAGGCACTATGGTGCTTCTATACTATTGATGATTTTAAACAATGCAAGTCAGAGAATAAAACTTAAAGAAATATACCGGAAATATTGTTTGTTTTGTTTTGACTTAAATGGAATTAATCATGCAAAAATTTCAGCAAAGGTTGAAGACTCCACTTCCCTCTTAAACCGGTAATGTTGTTTTTGTGACATCCTAAAACACTAGAGATTGTTTGTTAGTTTAATCATTCAACAGGACCATCCCTGATTAATGTTATCATAGATGTAAAAAGAGCTTAGTTTCGAGTTAATCTCAAAGACAGATATTTTCCCAGCATGTTATATTATGACAAATCCAAATATATTTTTTATTTCACAGTACTAAATGTACAGTAGTCTTTGTAAAATATGTTACATCCCAGATTTTCCCAGTCTACACAGCTGTACAAATTGTGTGAGCATGCCAGGAAGTAAATGTTTGTTAGACTGGGATCTTTCCAGGCCAAGTCTTGTACTATCCTTTCACTTATAGAAACAACAGAAACTGGTGTCACCCTTGTTTGGTAGAACACACATGGATAGCACAATGGAAATGGGTATTACTTGTTAAATTAACATTTGGGGGAATTATTGGTTTTACTCTGTTTCTTCGTCTTCTTCCGCCGTAAATATTTCCGACACATTTCTTCAAACCATTGTACGGAAATTAATGAAACCTTACACAAGTGTTCATCATGGTAAGGGAGTGTGCAAAATGACCTTTCATTTTCCGATCGGTCAACCAAGATTGCCGCAACAGCCTCTGATTGGTCGAAATTAAATATTGGTCGATTTTGCTCAAATTTGGTATGTAGATGTATTTTTGCATCTTTGAGACAATGAGGGTAGTGTGGGGGACTTCTGTAATGGTCCCCCATTACAATTAGTACTTGTTCTGTTTATCTTTGTTTCCATGGTTACCTGGAAAGTAGTATTTTAGGTGCATTCTGGTTAGGAATGTCATCATCCGGTTGCACACTAAATTACATAATGAAATCATGTAAAATCTGTGAAACTATGGCCCCTGCCAATACAAGTAGTTTTCTATATTCTGTCACTAATATATATTAGTAATTATACTATAGTGTGGTAGTACTGTTTTGCTTGTAGCAATTCAGAAACTGTAGGGCACATGGATAGAGCTAGGAAAAAGGCATTTGTTTACTTATTTACCCGTGTTTACACTGTTATTTGAGGTACATTCTGGTTAAGAATGTCATCATCCAGTCGATATATAAATCATATTAACATGTGAAATCTGTGAAACTGTGTTTCCTGCCAATGTGAGAGGGTTCTATACTGTTCTTTACTCTATAGTGTGGTGGGGTCTGTCCATTTATATCACAACTTATTTACAACCTTTACACATATTTATTTGAGAATCCTAATAAATTCAGTATTTGTTCCTTTATATCAGACTGAAACTTCTGTGCAGCTATACCATCAGAGGCTGAAACTTCTGTGCAGCTATACCATCGGAGGCTGAAACTTCTGTGCAGCTATACCATTGGAGGCTGAAACTTTATTCCTCTAACATAAAAGGCTGCTGGTCGGCTGTTTTTTATCCGATATGATTGTGCAGAGTTACACGGTACTTGTCAAAAGTTTCTTGCCATGTTAAACTTAAAACAGTTTAAGTAGCTGAAACTTCACTAGTGTCATGTAGTTTTCGTTTGATTGTGCAACAGACTGGCACATAGGATTGGATGATACCAAAAATGGTTTAAGCTTCAGGTTTTTAATTGTTTTAAAACATCAGTCACTAATTAATAAGAGAAAAAAATCAACAAAACAGATACAATAGGCTTTATTTACATTACATCTTATGTATTTACCAAACAAAAACCAAACACAAAATGGTTAACTGGTAATTAAAATACAGAATTCTTTATCTGGACATAAAACCAATTGATATGGTTCAGGTTCTTCACAAAATTACCATTTTATTACATTTCGTGACTTAGGACGAGGTATGGGCAGAAAATCAAATAAAAAAAAAAATGGAATTAAATATCTGATGGTTATGTATCTCGGACAGATAGTCTTGTTAACTGCTAAACATGGCTCGAAGATGTACAAACAGGAATGCTGTCTTACAGCCATCATTAAAAAGTAGAACCTACCACCCGTTACAAACCTAGCTAGTCTAGGTGTTGAATAAGGGACAGAAATACTAGTATTAATTATAAAAAGCATGGACAAAATTCTTTTCCTTAACATGAATTTTCTTGAGTTGATAAAATATAAATACATAAATGAGGAGTATAGAATGCTTTACTGAATGAGCAGCTGCAGATGGAAAGTGTATCAAGGGGCATAACTCCTATAAGGTGTGTCGAAAATGAAAAAAGACCGAGGTTAATATAAAGTGGTATTGATTCTCAATGTTTAGGGAAATTCATAATTAAGAAATGCATAGCTGGACAAATATGATATCCAGTAAAGGGGCATAACTCCTATAATGTATCAAAACTGTTTACAACTTGTATATGCCTAAGAGGACAATATGCATCTATGGACCAATGGAGAAGCGGATTACAGTAAATTTTGCTTAAATTCTACTTGAAAATAGTAAATTTTATTGGATATTTCACAGAATATGCAGTTTCATACAGCAAAACGGAATAAATAAGCTCCGGCTACACCTATTAAAGTTTTGTACAGCAGTACCTTTTCTTGGCAGCCTTTTTATATACAGGTTTTAAAACACCTTCATTTTGGATACATATATAAACACTTCATCATTCATGAATATATATATATTACAAAACACCACAATCACCCATTAGTCAAGCATTCATCTCTCGCCCCTCAAACCTTGTAAAACGGCTCATCTGTCAGATTAATAGCTCATAGGGGAAACTTATAACTATACTTCAGATAAATTTTAGTCAAGTTTCATGAAAAGCAATATTGTCTACGTACACCGGTATGCAGGTACAATATGGTTGCTTGTTTTGTATGCCATCAAAGGTGCACAATTGTTACATTCAATACAATAGAAATCAAATATCTTACATTTTTAGTTGGAGGTACAGTTAAATAAATTATTTTGGAACATAGAAAAAACATTTTTATTCATTCAAACTATTAATTAAACCTTAAACCGACATGTATTCTAATTATCACACTCGTACAGACAACATACATGAAATAACTTTCATTCCTGAAGTTTATACATGTACCTGCATTAATTTTGTCGAAAAGATAACATTAGGGGTACTCTTTTAGGTGTAATGTGTATCTTTTCAGAGTACCAGGAACTGTCGTCCTATCTCAAAAACTACACAGGTCACATCAGATTAATGATGTCAAGGTCACACATGATAACAGATTTCCCAAGTTCATATAGGATTACAGTAATGTCAAGGTCACAAAGTACAACTGATGTCAAGGTCACACATGATTAAAGTGATTTCTTAAGGTCGTATAAGATTACAGGGATACCAAGGTCACACAGGATTACAGTGATTTTTTTTAAGGTCACAGGATTACAGTGATTTTTCAAGGTCACAAAGTGTTTAAAGTGATGTCAAGGTCACACAGGATTACAGTGATTTTCCAAGGTCACACAGGATTATAGTGATGTCAAGGTCACACAGGATTACAGTGGTTTTCCAAGGTCATACAGGATTATAGTGATGTCAATGTCACATATTATTACATTGTCAAGGTCACACATGATTACAGTGATTTTTCAAGGTCACACAGGATAAGTGATTTTTCAAGGTCACTAAGTGTTTAAAGTGATGTCAAGGTCACACAGGATTACAGTGATGTTAAGGTCACAAAGTGTTTAAAGTGATGTCAAGGTCACACAGGATTACAGTGGTTTCCCAAGGTCACACAGGATTAAAGTGACGTCAAGGTCACACAGGATTATATTGTCAAGGTCACACAGTGTTACAGTGATGTCAAGTTCAGTACCAGCACAATCAACGTTATACAAGTTTATGCTATAACCACTATCATACAGGCTTTAATTTCAGCACATACATTCTATAATTACAGTACAGTCAATGCCTTACAGGATGATGGTACAGTCAAGGTGAAAGTCACATAGGAAATGGTACAGTCAAGGTGAAAGTCACATAGGAAATGGAACAGTCAAGGTGAAAGTCACATAGGAAATCGTACAGTCAAGGTGAAAGTCACATGGGAAATGGTACAGTCAAGGTGAAAGTCATATAGGAAATGGTACAGTCAAGGTGAAAGGCACATAGGAAAAGGTACAGTCAAGGTGAAAGTCACATAGGAAATGGTACAGTCAAGGTAAAAGTCACTTAGGAAACGGTACAGACAAGATTACACCAGATGATGGTACAGTCACATAAATAACTACATTCAAGCTTACGGAGGGAACAACACAGTTAAGATCATAAAGAAAATGGTACAGTTACGGTCAAGAACACAACTTCAAATGATTCATTATTAAACCATAGCAAACAGTGATCCTTTCATGGAGGATATTTACTTCTGGGCAGTCTGAAAGTGGTGGAATCTGTGAATACCCTAACTAAAGGTTGAAGGTATACATAACTGATGGTTTACATACATTATATACTGGTACACATTCGTGAATAGATTTATCCTGGTTATATTGTTAAACCCTTTGCTTCAATCAAAGTAACAATAAACAAACATTGTCTTTATTACAATAACATAACAAAATTCTTACAACAAAGCTTTGGGTAGTAAGTTAATATTAAAATGAATCTCCAGTTTCCATAATCATCTGTAATGAGAACAGAAATGTCTTTTAAAGTTGCTTAAAAACAGATATCGTGTTGTATTTTAACACAAAGTGAAAGACTTTTTGTGATAGTACTTCAAGTTTTTATTTTTGTATTACTGTAGTCCCCACACATCCCCCCACAACCTGTCGGAGGCTCAATATGGCTGTGTATCTCACAGACTTGAAGGTGGTAGTGGACACGCCCACATGACATCCTTATAGCAGCCTAGTGATCGTGTAGTAGCCGGTTAAACGCGTTATAAGCACTGTCTAAATCAAACAACATCTGTCGCACTTGGTTGTCGTCCAACTCCTCGGAGGCGGACATCCCGTTAAACGTGTCCAACCTGTCACAATAAGAAAAACACCATGATTACCCAATACTGTTGTGATGGATTTCTTCATCTGATTCAACTTTATTTATCCATCACCTTGCATACGTTCAGGTATCCAGTTTAAGTTTAAAGATCCCTCACACCCACTCTAACGTACAAGAGTACAGCATTGGCTATATACCCTGAACTTGTTGCTCAATCAATCAACTTTACTTCTCTATACAAAATGTACGGAGAAAACATATTTACAACAGTAAACAAGATCAAACGTTATAAACAAAGTGTATATGATAATTTTCACAAATTTTGATAAATTTGCATGAATTTCTTAAAATTTTAACATTGTTTGTATTCATTAGTTCTGAGAACTTTACAGAATTTGGCATGGCATAATAGTATTTATGTCAATATAACTTCCTTTCTGTGGATAGAAAGGGGCATTTGAACAAGTAGTGAAACACGTCACCAATGTCTTAATTATCACAATATATATACACATTCTGTTTTGGTACTCAACATTATTTCATCTTACAGTTTCCACTATACGTTTATGATTACTAGTTCTAAATTTACACCATATTGACTCAAAATATGTAAATGAAATTCCCTAACCATCTTGGTCAAGACATTTCAGACCTTCCTAACATCAAAGAATGAAACTGCATTACTAACAGTGCAACACACAGTATCAATGTGTAATGATTGAATGACTGTAAGTTGTGTCAACCAAACTCTGATAATAACAGTTCTTGTTATGTATAGACAGGGCATTGGTAATGAAATCATAAACACTACATACTGTAAAATTATAAATTTTCGTGGGACATTAAATTTCGTTTATTTTGTGGATAACAAAAAATCCACAAAATTAAATACCGGTACCCACTAAAACATAAATAAGGTACGATATAGATAGGGGGAAATCAAAAATCTGCGAAATATAATGTCCTTGAAATAGGCTAGTATATGAAAATCAAGAAATTTTAAACCCAAGAAAATAAATGATTCTACAACATATAGAGACCTCTGTATGCTTTGTCTGCTCTTGGTTCTCAATCTTTGGTCCATCAACACAAATAGGTCTTTATGGTCAACATGTGTATGATTTTCTTTACAGCTCTCTTTTTTTCTTTCAACATATATTGTTAAATATCATTTTCCAAATCTAAAAATACAATTAACAGTTTTTGCAGTGAATGATTTAACAAAATCAATCAACAATTGGCAGATTTACAGAACCACCTACCAAGTCTTTACTTTCACTTTCCCTTCAAATTCAGAAGAAACAATACTCAGTCTGCTCATTGTCTCCATCAATTCCTTCAGATCTGGCTGGATCTAAATCAAACATCAAAATGTAACATATCACACAGTTATACATTTCAGTTGTTTATCAGAAATATATTTTTTTAAATTTAAACACAACACTTTCCAAAAATATTCTGAATTTTGCATAGTTACTGTACTATTTTTTGTTAACTGATTAAAATTTTCAATAATTTAGTCTGGACAGGTTCAAGTATCAAGATACAGAGGACAAGCTGTATGTATTGTCCTAGGTTAAAAAGTTTGACAATATATATATATATCTGTTCATGTATGTTTACCTAAAGTCCTATTTAACTAGAAGTTCTAGTTTACTATATAAAGTTACAGTTTACCTAAAGTCCTAATTACCTGAAGTTTTAAGTTTACTCGACGTTTTGGTTTACTTTAAGTCCTATTTACCTCAAGTTCTAGCATGTTTCATGACATTGACACATTTGTCATGTGCACAAAGTAGTTCTTATGACCAATACTGGTGAATAGTTCTGAAATAAATATTTACAATCTCTAATTACAGCTTATCTAATAAGCTGAAACTAGTAAACTGCAATAAATTTGCCAAGTAACTTCAGGTGGATGTTGTCCAGTCATCTTTTTACTTAATTTCCATTACCCCCTGGACTGGACTATCCAAATTCCATAGGAATCCATTCCTTGGAGGCGCTGAACCAAAAAGAACATTCGTTCACGGACGTTGGATCTCCCACCTCCCGGATCTCTAATTAAGTATAGATAAAACATTAAAATGTTGGTAAACACAGACTAGATAGTCCCTAGATCACACCTACCTCGTCCATGGCTCTGATCTCCAGCCGCAGTTTGTCCATGACAGTGATAAATAACTGTAACAAACAGTTAACAATCATTATCATTCACGATAAGATGTACCTATACACAGTAGGATATTAATGAATATGGTTCCAGACTTTGAAAAAATATCAGTTTTTATTTTAAATCATGTTACAAAATGTACTCAAAATCATTATAGCTGATCAAAAAATGGAAACAATTGTTCAACTTCCCCAGTATACATTATAATATAAAGCCCAAATGTTCTTGATTCCTTCAGATCTTTCAGCCATTACATATTGCTGAAGACTTAAATAAGCTTTGAGATAAAACCAAATCAAATTTCCTTTAAATAATGCACTACCTATATAGACATCAAGCCTTGTTAAATCAGCCACTATCATTTTGAGCTCCAGTGGCTGAACTGTGACAAGACTAAGCTACATATCTCGGACACAACCTTCACCAACAGGATTTTATTGAAAATAGTGATTCTGATAATTTTGTTTTAAATTTAAAAATTGTGTTCTACTTACAGATACAATATCTGCTATACATTTACTGGTGTTTCCCTTGTCATCCTTAATGGTGATTGGACGGTCATCCTTAATCCTCTCTAATGCTGCCGGACAGTCCAACTTGAAAAAAAGAAAACTATTATGTACACATATGACCTCCATAGAATGTTTATATGTCACAAATATATATTTATCATACTGGTTGATGATAGAATACATGTGCCTTATTATAATCTCTCGAGCCACAGAAACCTTATGGAATCAACAACGTTCAAAGTAGTCCCTTCACCATTATTTAAGTCCTTCTTCTTTTCATCTTCGAAAAAGTATAGAACATAGANGGGGGGGGGTATTGAACAAGGGAACAAATTTTGCCAGCATTCCACAGTCTCTCGCCTCGGGCCGAACTTTGGTAACTTAGGGGCTACAGACCTGATTTAATTCAGTGATGTTCTACCATCCCAAGATGTACTTAATACACAATCTGACAATTGTAGGTTGCAGAGAATAAGAGATATGCCGAAGCCAAAGTAATGGATGGATGGATGAACAGAGTGCAAACCTACAGTCCTTCCCTTCCAGTAGAACAGGCGGGTGACTAAAACAAAATGTCTAATGTGATTTCTTCACATCCTTAGAATACAAACAATGTGTTTTTTTCATTTGAAAATTTCAATTGTTTGATTGAATTTCTTTAATGACAGTAAAAACATGTATATAATGTGTATTTCTAATATTAATATCTACTTTATTGCAAATACAAGTATATAAAATTTGAGAGTGTTACACAGTGGATTTCTATAGTCTCTGTGTAGAACTTACTCTGAATTTTTTCATGAATGTTTCCACATTGGGGAACTCGTCACTCTGGACCTGTTTGAAGGCAGCCTTGTACTGGACCAACAGTTTGGAGCACGCTCCTGTGTACCTGTACAGAAATAACACCACAGGTAAGTACAGGTACAATCCATAAATCGATGATTACACCAGATATAACAATTCCATTACCAAGTTAAATTGTTGTGAATTGCACTTCAATATCATATACTGGTATAAATCAGGAATGGAAAATTCTCTATAGACTATTGATTATTATTGTTTTAAGGATTTGAATGTGTATTTTGGATGCCTGAAGGACTTGAACAAGGGAAGAGAGCCTTGTGTAATACAAAGTTCACGTAAACTTTCTTCAAGGATCAGTTTCCTTCATCAGGCCATGAAGCAACCACAGAAACTTTCAAATGTTACATTTCAATTGACAATCCATCAGTTCCTTGTCTTTCTTTTTTCTTTTTTTTGCAACTCAATTACAGTGGTACATAACTGAAGGAATTGAGTAATAAAAAATACCAGCTACCTCAGGGAATTGGCTCACAATTAGGAGCTAATGACCAACTTTCTCTAGGTCTAACACAGTTTTAAATAAAGTGAGAAACAGAAGCTTCAAAGAGTTAATGTAACATGTTCAATGACCTGTGACACAGTAGTGAAATGTTACTTACTCTCTGGGCTGAACAGCATCCTTAATGTACGACTTCTCTAAACTCTGTAGCGTGTTTATCACAGCGTAGAGATCGGCCATGTTGTCATATCTACAAGTCAGCAAATATTTACAGGTTATTTGTGTTTGAAAGGTTACACACTACCTATAATATACCATAAGACACATACACCACGTACACATATAAATAAAGTATGTGTCGTAAATAGCACCCAGGGCCATTAACAAATTTGCTTAAAAAGGGGCTTTTATTAGGATAGTAAAATTTGACATATGAAAGAACAAGGTTACCGCGAGCGGTATATAATACGCCCGTCACACATTGAATGAGCAGTTGTTTGTATGATTGAAATATATGAAGTATTTGTGAGTAATTGATATTAAAAGAGAAATCATTCAACATAACTGGTAGATCAATGAGTGCAATACAACATCATGGAACGCATGCATCGCATTAATGAAACCAAGGGTAATAACTCCA